TGCTCTCAGGATCACTTGGATACAGAACCCCTAACCCCATTTCAGGATCTAAACAAGAGGCTCTGAACTGGAAATTTACAGATGTTTTAAAAGATAGAATCACAAAATATCCTGTTGGAAATCATTTAGCTAGAATCTTATAATAATTTTTGGATGCCAACTGTATTCTGCTTCTTTGGTGAGCAACTTAATTTTTTTCATTGGGTACAGCTCATTTTGCTTTTCTCCTGGGACTTCTGCACTGAGTGATTTTCCATTTTGCTGGGTGAAATACAGGGCACCATTTAAATGCGAAGCTCAAAATGGCATCTATTATGCCAAGCTACAACATGGCTAAGTTACAAGCCTCAATATTTTCTGGGGTAAAAATAACATATCTATAATCCCTACAGTTAAGAGGCTGAAACAGGAGTGCTGCTTTGAGGTTAGGGCAATTCTGAGCTGTGTTAGGGGTTCAAATCTAGCTGATATACATACAGAAAACTTGTTTCAATAAAACAACACTAAACTAAACAAATAAATCCAAACAAAACAGCTGAATGGAGACTGATTCCATCAAATCTTAATTTCATGTCTCAGGCATTAATTTTTTGTATATACACATTTTTTGAGACAGCACATTTAATACTAGATTGGAACTCACTGCTAATGCTACAGCCAAATAGGAGCACTGATTCTTGTAGTGAGTCAGTGCAAGAGTCCCTATTCACTGTCTCTAAAGCAGAGCTTATAGTGGGAGCCTGCAGGATCAACATCCATAAAGCACAGAGACAGACAAATATCTCATCAATCACTTTGATGTACTACCAATGATATCTCTTCAAATCTCATTTAGGCCACTGAGTTCTTTGTTCTTAATATACTTAAGCAGCATTTTGATATTTAAATTTTGTTTCATAGAACAAAACATAAATAACATCAAATGTTATATAAATAATAACTCAAATGTTCATAGAAAACTGCTGTATGTAAAAAATGAATAAACAATGAAACCAGGTACAAGCTTCAAATTATAGCTCAGTGTCACCAAGTGATCACTTTACATTCAGATATAAGAAATATATCTTGGGAGTCTCATGCAGGAAAACTGCCTTGAGTTTGGGGCTAGCCTAAGTTACAAAGCGGTCTGAAATAGATAAACCCTGACTGAGACACCCCACAGACAATGTGAAACTTGAAAAGTGACTGCATAAGTCACTTTTGGTTTGCTTTAAAAAAATTAGCCATACAATATAGAAAAATTCCACAATGTTCAACATTTTCTGAGGAACAAGGTTGATATCATCCATAATATACAGAAAACACTTTCAGAGCTGGGTGTTTAGCTCAGCAGCATGAAAACCTAAATGGCAAGCTTGAGATCATGAGTTCGAATCTTGGTACAAAAAAAATTCAACTTTCATTTTCATGACACTGGGTCATAATTAGAGATAATCAAAATTGGATGTCAAGTGAAGAACACAGAATTCATGGGTTTACAGAGGTGTGGAATAATGATTGTTACCAGAGCTGGTGTTATTCACCTGAAGGAAGAAACAATAAGCCACCCTTAACTTCATGCTTGCCCTAAGAATACCTGACTTTCAGTGAAGACCCTCTCTGTTGTATGTCCTCCTATTGGCATACTGTGTCCTGCCAGTCACTTCCACATCCTTTCCATGCTCTTCTGATCCACCGTAAGCAGGAAACCCTTCATGCCTAAACTATTGATATTCCTGCACAATTTCAATTTAGGACATCTTCTTCACATTACTTAGTAAAGGCCATTGCAGAGCATTTCCATATTTAAACATTGTCTATGATCAACCAAGCTATTAAATCAGCTGTTAAATCAGAAATGATACCCATATTCCTTTCCATTCCGAACAATATCACCTGTATATGTTCATGCAAATGACTACATATAGGAATTTTTCAATGAGGATTTAACAGGCAGCCCTTTCTGGAATTTTTCCTTAGCAAGCACACTTTACTCTGCCCTTGATAACACTTTTAAATCGGTTTCATTTTTGTCAGAATTCAAACTTCTATCGCTGTTCTCACAAACATAGTCTATGAGCAAGTGGGTAACAAAAAGTATGTTCAGAAATTCTTTGCATTGTTCTATGTAATTCACAGGAGTTCACCAAGTGTTTGGGAAGCCTTCCTCCACTGAGCCACATCACTACACATCTCTGAATTATTAGGAATTTTGCCAACACCTGTCATGAGGATGGAAATGTGAGAATATAAAATAAATTTAGGCGATCCCTATGAATACAAAAAAGCACAAGTTTAAGGAGAGCCATTGTGGATTTGAGGCCCTGTATTACAGATATTTATGAACTTTAGAACCTAAAGATTGCTGCAAACTGCAATGAGAACAGAGACCAAGCTCAGTACTGCTGCTCCAGATACAAAATGCATCAGTCAGGGTCTGCCCAAGCTCCTTGCTCTGCCCCCTATAATGGAGGTGTCAGGGTAATAGAGAATTTTAAAGATGATACTCCAATTCTGTTGCTCTCCTAGTTAGCTCAGGGTTCTGGGGACACAAAATCATACTTACTCCCAGCGGGAGTAAAAAGGGACAGTGGATTACCCAAAGCCAATGCTAGAATACATCAGGAGCTGAAGCTATCTAAATACCTGTGTCTGCAGACACCAGAACTGCTTCTAAACACTTGTAACTGGATTCTCCCAATTCCACCCTATTTCTGGCCTTCCATCCAAAGCCTCACCATTCTGTGGCTAGAGGGTCTCCCAGGTTCTTTTCTCATCAGGCCCCAGGACTTTGAAACCAGGAAATGAGATGCAGCAAGTATTCTGCTCCCAGTTTTGTGCTCCAAACAGGTAAATAATGCCTAGACAATGGAAGAGACCCAAGAGACGGCCTGTCATGGCTCACCTAATTGAACATTTCATATAGCCCACCTCTTCATCACTGATTCACTGCTGCTCTCCTGCCCTCCTTCTGAGTCAAAAATAAACCCAGAAAGGAACTCCTTCCTGCAAGAGAGGATCCCAAATGATAGACTGTAATCAGAGAGTTCTGCAGCTGGCTGTCTTCTACAATGTTGATCTCAGCTACACAGAGGAATATGTGTACCAAAGCGCTTTACTTCAGGCTTTTCATTTCCACATCCATTTTATTTCAAGGATAAAAAGAAAAAAATAAACTAAAACTAAATTTCAGAACATGTGAATCAGGGGGCAGAACTGCTATATACATTGCACACAGTCATCCCGAGATTATTCACCCAGAGCACAAGACATCTGTATTCAATTTTCAGAAAAATACTGTTATAGTAAGCTGAGTTAGTTAAATATTATTGGCTGTGAGACAGGGCTAGGTCCTCCAAGGAGCCCATGCAGAAACCCAGATACCTTGCATCTATGAATAAGATGGATGTGATAGTTTGGACTCGGGAATAAAACCCAAGGAAGCAAGAAATTAAAATTTGGGAGCAAAGGCTTTATTTTAAGCCTGGCCTGGCAATGCAATCTCCAGGAGCCAATTTGGAGACTGCCAGCCTTACAGCTAAAAAGGTTGGGTTTTAAAGCCAAAAACCACAGGAATGTTGCAAACTTTTACCCAGTTTGGTAACTTCCTTGTTGTTAAACTTTTCTAAAAGACAGCACATTGTATTGCAGATAGGCTGAAGAGGGTTGGGGGGATTTCAAGAAACTGAAACTTAAAGTTTACTTAGTCTAAAAAGAATAGGGAGGGGAGGGGGATTTACAAGGAGCTGAAACGTAAGTCTTTACTGGAGATGGAATTTTAATCTCTATTGAAATGGCACATACAGAAGAGAAAGGAGGTCCATTGGTTAGAACTAGGTTACAACAATGGACAGCTCCTGCTATGGGCCAAGCCTCAAGACAAAAAAATCAACAAATTCATCCATACTCTAAGGACTGATATTCTAAATAGTTCCCTAGCACTCTGAGGAAGTCAGGAGTCACCATTCAAATAAATGTCTCCATATCCTAAGGACTGATATTGTAATTAATTCCTATCAAGAGTCACCCTCCCAACCTCCTAAGGGAAAATTCACTGCTGCCTAAGAATGCCTGCTTTCTAAGTGACTCCCTTCCCCATTTGTTTCCAATTTAATTAACTTTACCTGGACTATTTATCTTATTGACAACCATAGATCTGTCCCATCTTATGCTCATCTGCATTTTGAGTTCCTAGTTTTCTCCAAATTAAACCCATCTCACCATAAGATTTTACTCTATAAAATCCTTGGAAAAGACAGTCTTTGCCAACCCACTCAGGATGAATTCACTCTCTCCCTCAGCTGTCTTTCTCCAAATAAGTATATTATCTTTACTTTTGTTGTTCCTAAAATTCTTATTTTGACTTTAGAGAACACAAACTCATACCAGCATAGTAGACCAGGAGTTTCATTCCCCTATAGCAATACCACTATAAATTTTTCTTTTTCTTGAAGTCAAAGAAATCAGTAGATGATTGTATTCTTAAATGTTGATCTAACCTCTTAAGGGACACTTGCACTGAAGGGCTTTATCCTTGCCTGTAAGTGCTGCTTCTGTTTTCTGAAAATGAACTGATCTGTAGGTTTGTTTACTTGTACAATGCATTAAGGAAATGACTAAAAACTTTTCTTGTGAATTGTTTACCACTAACTGTGGAAGAAAACACATAGCAAAAATTCTTTTTTTCATTTTGTAATTCAAACTGCAGGATGTACTTGAAAGTGTTTTGCCCTAGAATAAATTACAGGACATCATGGTGGTAGTTCATCAGAGTTAAAGTTCAAATTGAAGAGTTAAACCATTCAGGAAACCCCTCTTGCCTTGTCACATGGTCAGAACAACCAGATATCCTGGCCTGATAGGGAAGTTGTGGTCCAACGTCCCCAAAAATAAGAGCACCGTGAACTATCGACCCTGCCAGACAGGATGAGTTTTCAAAAACATCAAGCCATCTGCTTCTGTAACCGACACTTGCTTTGTGATTTTCGCCTTTATATACTCTGCACTTCCCTACCCGGGCACTCTCTCTCTCCCCTCTCCCCACCGGAGTGTGGTTGGAGAGTCCCTTGCATGCATAGACAATAAAACCTCTTGATTTTTCATGAGAGCTGGCTCCTTGGGGTCTTCATCACAATGGTGATCTTACATTTGGAGGCCCCAGTGAGATCTGCCCCCCCCCTCGCTGAGGGCAGCCCCAACGGCCACAAAGTGTCTCTTGGGGTAAGTACAGCCATTCCTTTTAGTTTCATTTTTGTGATCGATCGTTCATCTTAACTGCCCCAAATCACTTCTGACCCGTACCTTGCGATCCTAATATAGGGCAGTTTCTTTGGGGGATGCCCCAAAAGGATTCTCTTGGGAGTCCATTTGTCCCTCAGACTCCCAGTTTTTTAGGAGGGGTCTCTTTGCCCTCTCATTGGTGGTGGATTCACCGATCTCATGTGAGTGTGACCGGCCAGAACGTGTGGTGTATTTTGTCTTGTTGGTGTTCTCTGTTGTCTCAGTCTTTGTTCTCGTCTCTTTTGTCATGGGACAAAGTGTCTCAACCCCTCTTTGTGTTACTCTAGACCGTTGGTCAAAATAAGGGAACTATAATAACCTAAGGCCCCCTAACTATCATGCCATGAAGCCTGTTCTGTATAAGCCTGCCTGCTGCTTTCCCTCCTTTTCCGCCTTCAAATCTAACTAGGTTAAGTTTTAACTTCCTAAAAGGCCATATAACAAAGGTCTGAGGTAATAGCTCCTGACAACCCCCTTCTCTACTGGGTAGTCAGTCACAAATTGTATTAATTGCATTAGATTGTAATAGCTTCATTTGTATCATAACAATACCTGTAAGGATTGATATGTTAATCAATGCTCTCCTGTGTAAAGAATTGTAAAATCTTACCTAATTGATATGTTAACCATTGTTGCCCTCTACAAATAACAGTTGTAAAAGGTGCTAAAGTAAGGTAACCAAGGTTGTTAATTGCCGTTTCAGCTTTGTAGTGCATCACACCCCCATCCCCTTCCTTACATTGTGTGACCAGCAGCTGTTTGTGGATTTACAAGATAAAAGCCCTGACTTTTAGCTGTCAGGTGTGCAGTCTCCAAATTGGCTCCTGGAGGCTGTGTCACCAGGCCTGGAAATAAAGGCTTTGCTTCCCTAATTTTAATTTCTTGCTTCCTTGAATTTCATACCGGGATCTGAGTTATCACATTTGGGGGCTCGGTCTGGGATGAGAGCAAGACCACAGACTCATTTCTGAACATCTGAAAGTAAGTACTCTGGAGGGTTTGTTTGGGCCATGGTAAATTTGTAATTTGGACGGGATGCCCTCAATTTGCCAGTGGGAACCCCCCGAGGACAGAGTCATTTGGTTCTTTTTTGGACAAATTCCATCCATCTGAGACTCTACCCCGGGTGGGGAACCGCTCCATTAGGAAGGGGACACCTTTAATTTGGGGAGTGAAACCTCCCGATGACGGAGTCAATTGTTTTTGCCATTTGTGACTCTGCCCTGGGTGGGGAACCGCTCCATTGGTTAATTTGTTAATTCCTCCAGATCCCAAAATTTGACTAATTTTTGAGCAAAGGCCATTTTGCTGCAGCTTGTCTTGTCTTATACGTCTGTTTGTATGTCCATTTGTTCTAATTTTTCTCCTTTTGGTTACTCCAAATCTAACTGAACATTCTCTCCTAGGAACCCCTTCTACGAGCCCAAAATGGACTACAGGATTTAGATAATTATGTTCAGAGTTTTTGTAATTTAGAATTGTTTGCCTGTTTAAATTTGTTGCTAACTTACGGGCGTGTTGCCCATTTCTGTTGCAGGATCCATATGGCTTATTAGATTCAAGGTTCATAGTAAGAATTATTTCCTTTAGCTCACCAAACTATGCATGAAGCAACCTTTTGTTTGTGTGTTTAATATGTAAGTCTTCACCTTGTTTAATATGTAAGTCTTCAATTGATTGCTTGCAAGCTCAGCATGCCTTTTAAAAAGAGTATTTTTCTTTCTGGTTAAAATGTAAACATATGTGCACATATACATGTATATTTATGGTTTTTAAGAATCATATCAACTTTACCAAGTAAAAACCAGGTAGTACTATGTTTGAGCCAGTTAAAAGGCTACAGTTTTAATTTTAAAAATACAGCATTATTTAAAAAATTATGTGGTAAAAACACATAAAATAATTAAGTATGTTTTAGACTACTAAAAGGTGACTTCAAGGGTTTTGTTAAGAGTTTTGATGTTGTCTGAGAAGCGAGAGGAAAGGTAATTGACTAGTAATAGTAAAAAGAGGAGACAAAATAAAAGTGTTTTGTCTTCAAGTAAAAATGTCTGGCTGTGCCAGAATGTGAAAAAAAAAAAAAAAAAGATAAAAGCTTAGCTTGGGTGGTATATTGTAAATTGTAGAAGGCTCAAAAAGATGTGAATTTTATTTGTCTTGGTTTATAGTACTACAAATAACAGGTTTGACCAGAAGAAAATGTGTTCAGAATTTGACAGTATTAGATCAGTTTTGGTAGAAGTATTCATAAGATTGTACTTTGCTGCAAAATGTTTCCATTGAAATGAGATTATAGGTAATACTAGAGATAAGATACATGTGCTATAAGTATCTGCATTGGTGTAAATATCTGGGAGATTATGCAGCACAACTTTGTTACCTATAAAAAAGTCCTTTTTTGTTAAGAATATAATTTCAGTAAAATGATGGCCTGCTTCGTGACATCCTGGGAGAAAAAGAATAAGCAATGTGCCATCCAAATGAAGCCGGCTCTCTGATCCAGAGTGCCAAAACCATGTTCTCCTTTTGTCCGACCCCGATTGGACATCCAGAGGTAAGGAGATTTCCCAGTATCACCAGTTGTTCTCTTTGCAACTCAGTGGGCCCCACATGTTAGACAAAAATTGCAAAGGTTTGAGAGGTTTCAGGGAATGCCCCTCAGCCAATTAATAGAGATAGCATAAAAGGTCTTTTAGAACTGGAAAATTTACAAAAAGCTATGAACAAAAAAATAACCAAGGTGTTAGAATTCCTCTATGAGAAAAAATTCTTAAAAAACAGATGAGAGTTTCTGGGGGCATTTGGATGCTGTATGCTAAATGTTACTGAAAAGCTCACCTCTATATGATTCCTATAAGGGAGAAACTCAAAACACTGAACTGCACTGATAAATGTGAACAGGCATTCCAGCAGCTCAAGCGGGCCTTGACAGAGGCCCCAGCCCTGGGGCTCCCTGATGTTACCAAGGCGTTCACCTTGTTCATAGACAAACTCAAGGGCATTGCCAAAGAAGTCCAAACACAAGACAAGGGCCCTTGGAAGACGCCTATAGCCTACCTCTCCAAAAGACTTGATCCAGTGATAGGAGTATGGCCCCCTTGCCTAAGAATACTAGCTACTGTGACAATGTTACTTAAGGAGACGAAGAAACTCACTTTGGGAAAGTGATTTTTGTGGTAACCTCTCACAGTTTAGAGACTCTTATCAAAACCCCTCCTGGAAAAAAAAGGGGGGGGGGGCTTTTGAATGCTAGAATTCTACACTGTCAAGCCCTGTTTCTAGACCCAGAGTCAATGATATTCAAGACTTCTTCAGCTTTAAACCCAGGCACCCTTATGCCTGATGATGACCTGGAGGAAAAAAAGACACCTCTCCATGAGTGTGCTGACATCCTTAAACTGAGCAGAACCTACGGGCTGATCTTACCAACCAGCTTTTGGGACAACTATTTTATCGATGAAAGCAGCTTCATCCCGAATGGCAAATGAATGGCCAGGGCTGCAGTGACCACCAAAAAGGAGGTACTCTGGGTTAAGCAGGTAGAACCTGGCACCTCTGCCACAAAGGCGGAGCTTGTTGCTTTGACTGAGAGGCTAAAACTAGCCATGGGAAGGAGGGTAAACCTTTTTAACTGACAGTAGATATGCTTTTGCTACTGTACATGTACATGGAGCTGTCTATCAGAGCAAGGTCTCTTAACCTCAGCTGGGACTAAGATTAAAAATGCTCCACAGATTCTAGACTTGCTGACAGATGTCTGGTTGCCTCAAGGAGATGCTATTACTCATTAGAAGACTCCCAGACAGGAGATGACACTGTCACCTTAGGTAACAGTTTGGCAGATCAAGGCGCTCAAAAAATAGCAACCACATCAGAGGGGCCAATTAAGAAAGTAACTGCTCTGATGCTAATCCCTCCAACCTTGTCAGAACCAGTCTACACAAAAAAAGGACCTACAGTTAGCAACTCAACTAGGAGTAAAGTCCCCCATCCCTGGGGGCTGATACCAGTTACCTGATAAACAAGTACTGTTACTGGAGGCACTAGGGTGGGAGCTGTTACACTGGGCTCGCCAGACTACTCGTTTAGAGAAAACTAAACTTGTGGAATTGTTCAGAACTTGGTTTTTTATTCCAAAATTCTGCAAACTGACCACCTCCTTGAGCTCCAGATGCCCACAGTGATTGTTAGTCAACTTAGCCAAGAGCTCTATGCTGGAGACCACCCGACATTAAAAAATAGTTCCAGGAGAACATTAAAAAGTAGACTTCATGGCATGGTAAAGCCTGATTTACAGGGGTACTGCTATCTCTTGGTATTAATAAACACTTTTACTGGCTGGGTGGAGGAATTCCCTACTAAGTCTGAGTCAGCCTTAGTGGTAGTTAAAAGGCTATTGTATGAGATCATACCTTGATTTGGCCTCCCACTATCAATGGGGACTGATAATGGCCTGGCTTTCATAGCCTGGGTCACCCAAAAGTTAGCCCAGGCATTAAAAATTAATTAAAACTCCAGTATGCCTATCAGCCACAAAGCTCAGGACAAGTAAAATGTATTTACCAAAGTCTCAAGGACATTTTAGCTAAGCTATCTTCAAAAACTGGTGATAATTGGGTGAGCCTTCTTCCCTTTGCACTAAGAGCTAGATGTACCCCATATGTTTCTGGAATTTCCCCCATTGAAGCCATGTTGGGAGGCCCTTGCCATTGGTTCCAAGATTGCCAGAAAATAAACTAGCTAAAATAACTAATCAAGATCTCATTAAGTCCTGACAGACTCTCCAACCCATGTTGACTTCAATCCACCAGCTGTTTAGACTAGACAAAAAAACCTGGATCTGCCTTCAGAGACACCTCTCAAGGTGCCAATCAAGCCAGGGACTCCAGTCTTGGGGCAATGTCACCACCGTGACTCTCTCAAACCCCGCTGGGAAGGACCTTTCACCATGGTGCTCAGTACCCCCACTGCCATCAAGGTAGCAGAAAAAACTGCATAGATTCACTACACTCACGTAAAGCCACTGGAAACAGTGGACAACGAAGGACTTACTCAGTAGACTACATAGCAGACTGGTAACCCCTTAAAGTTAAAATTGACTAAGATTATGCTGGTCATGAACTTTTTTAGCTTGCTTGCTTTGATTTTAATAACATTAATGCCGATGGCATCAATAACATTGATGCATGGCGGTTTTGGTCCCCCTGTAAGCAAAGAACAATTGTTAAGATCTTTATGTGGGAGCTTCTGTTATTGTGGAGGGGGCTATATTACTAAAGGTAAAGACACCAACTGGGGGGAATTATACATACAATAGGAAACAAGTATCGAGATCCTTCCCACACAAATGAGAAACTGTATACATACAGTCTTTCGGACAGATTGTGAGTGCAAGTTAACATTCCTTGTAGCTATACCCTCAGGTACAGGGGGTTTGACTAAAAGGTGGATGTAAATGATAAAGCCCCTGTGTGATACCTAACAAAGGCAGTCAGTGAGGGCCATGCCATCAGAATTGTTCTTAGTATTCAAAAATGCATTCCTACTGCTATGACTCTGTACAAGAATGTATAGCATAGATAGCAAAACTTACTTCACTGCTGAGCTTATGAGGACAAAGGCTAAAAGGGTTAAAGGTGATTGGTTGACATATTTGACAGTGATAGGAAGTTCTATGTATGCCCAAGCCTCATGTCTTAACATGGTTGATAATCAGTGAGCTGGAGCATGGTGGCCCTATACATGTGTCTGATAGGGGCAGGCCACAAGATAAGATCCAAAAAAAAAAAAAAAAAACAAACTCTGGTGGTTGAGGAACGAGTAAAGCTGCTAATAAAAATAAGCTGCATAAATCGTGGGGAGTTGGTCTGGACGCTCAAACTTATGATATTCTAGAGGTCACTCATAAAGCCTTAAATGCTTCCAACCCAAATTTGGCTGAAGAATTGCTGGTTATGCATGGCACAGGGCTCCCCCATACCCCTTGCCATCCCCAACAGTGTTTCTCTGGCTACACTGGAGAAACAAGATTACTTAAATTTTAGTGCTGGTCCCCCCTTTAGAGTACAACCAGTAGACTTCAAGGACTCTCTCTGTCTCCAAGGAGGTCTTCATAACGATACCTCCAACTTTGATGTGGAGTTCATCACATTTACTAATTTTAGTTCCATAGTTAAGCAGACTACCTCCTTTATACTGCCAAAGGACAAGTATTTATTTGTGGAGGAAATATGGCCTATAATTTCCTCCCAACTAACTGGATAGGGATATGTGTAACAGCTGTCCTGTTGCCTGATATAGAGATCCTACCCGGGGATGAGCCTGTCCCCATTCCTAGTTTAGATTACATCACAGGCCACTCAAAGAGGGCAATTCAATTTATTCCTTATTGATAGGCTTAGAGATATCAGGAGCCTTAGGTCTGGGGGCAACAGTAGTAGGGGTTTTTGTCCAACATTCCAACCAGATTGTTAGTGATATACAGAAATTATCTAGTACCATTCAGGTCATTCAAGAACATATAGACTTGTCAGCTAAAGTAGTTGTCCAAAATAAGAGGGGACTAGACCTACTCCTCCTAAAGGAGGGCAGCCTATGTGCCACTCTAAAAGAAGAGTGCTGTTTTTATGTTGACCATTCAGGCATAATAAAAGATGCCATGTCCAAACTCAGAGAAAATATCAAAACTAGAGAAAAAAAATACTCTTTGGGGACATCCTTCTCTTCCCTATGGCAAGGGCTAGTTCCTTATGCTGTCCCCCTCCTAGGCCCTTTAGCTGCTTTGCTCTTATTCCTTACCATTGGCCCTTGCGTTTTAAACAAGATTACACATCTGGTGCGATCCCAGGTCTCCCAGGTAAAGATGATGGTCTTGGGATACCAATATGATCCAATACCTACAAATAATCTCTAGGATTAGAGATCCTCACAAGAAAAGGGGGAAATGAAGTGTTAAAACATCCAGAAAACCCCTCTTGCCTTGTCACATGGTCAGAACAACTAGATATTTTGGCCTGATAGGGAAGTTGTGGTCCAACATCCTCAAAAATAAGAGCATTGTGAAATATCGACCATGCAAGACAGGATATGAGTTTTCAAAACACCAATGCCATCTGCTTCTGTAACCAATGCTTGCTTTGTGGTTTTTGGCTTTATATACTCTGCACTCCCTTACCCGGGCACTCTCCCCTCTCCCCACTGGAGTGCGGTCAGAGAGTCCCTCGCATGCGCAGACAATAAAACCGCTTGATTTTTCATGAGAGCTGGTTCCTTGGGGTCTTCTTCATGATGGTGATCTTACAAAATCAGCCATGCTTACCCATATGGCTACTTCCTCTTTTTTTCCCTGAATACAACTTCCTCATTCCTTTTCCAGAGGCCCAAAGAAAATTCCTATCAGCTCCTTGCATGACATCAATGTTAGTGCCAGGAACCACATAGAGCAAAATTTCACATATTCTCCATAATCCCATAATCAGTCAGAAAAAAAGGCAAACCCTTGGTGGCTGTAGGCTCCCCTCCACATTCTTTAAATGGAAAGGACACTTTTACTTTTTCTTATATTCTGCTTCTCTATTGGGCCACAAAATCCTAACTGATAAGATTATATAGTACATCCAAAAGATGAGAAGTATAAAACAAAAGAGGCCTTTATTCTGAGAATGCGAAGAGAGAAAACAAAAACCCCCTAACCATTGGAGTCAGGTTTCTCTCTCATGGACTCATGGCATGGGGGCATATAAGCAACCTAGGTTTGGGGTGGAACCTGAGGGGGCATTAGGGATGCACACGTAGTCCATTGGTCTTTGTTTGGCACCATAGGTAAATTCCTAGGTGCAGGGAAGTTGGAGTCACAGGTAATTTCCTAGGGGTGGGGGAGATAGGAGCTCCTTGGTTCTGCCTCACTGGCTACAGTGTCCTGTCTCAGCCAAAACTCTTTCAGTAACAGTACTGATTCTTGTGTATCTATGAAGCTAATTTATCTCTTCAATAATTCTCATGTTAAATGCCACGAGGACCCAATGGAAATTAATGCAGTGGGCTGTTGCTTCACTCTATCAGTGTCAATGCAGGAAGTTTAATCCTAAGATAAAAATAAATCTTCATATAAATTTCAAAACACAAATATGCATCAAAATACAGCCAACGTCCTAGAGACCTACAGACAGCTTTCAATAATATAATAGATGCTTTCTAGAAACTGACAAAATACACAGTTTTTCTAATGAAAAATTGTGTAGAAACTTTTCTGAACAATTATAGGTGAATCTTCTCTTTAATAAGATATAACCTACTGCAATGGCAATGTCTAGTTCTTGCTAAATAATACACTCAAACCAATTATTTAACATTTATAATGACTGATGTATACAATTTTAGATATTGCCAGGACTACAATCACTGTGATTTGTATTAATCACTTAAAACTGCAGGAGAAGGAGCAAATTTCAGACATTATATAGTATAGTCATGTTAATTTGGTTCAGGTTAATGGTATAGGGTAATGAAACTCCTTACCTACTATATGTCCGGTATGCGTTTGTGTTCTCTAAATTTAAAGAATGGATTTTAGGAATGATGGAGTTTAAGAATGGAACAAATTTACTGGGAGAAGGAAAGCTTCTGAGAGACAGAAGGTGTCCTGAGTGGGTTGCCAATGACTCTGTCTTTTTGAGGAGCTTGTACAGAGTTAAACCATGAGGTCAGATGGGTCACAGTAGGGAAAAAATAGGAATTTTGAACATTAGCATAAGGCGGGATAAGACTGTGGTCAACCAATAAGGTTAATTTCACAGGTAAAATTGATTAAATTGGGAGCAAATGGGAGAGCAAGTCACATACTAATTGGGCCTGTTTAAGAGCAGGGACACTTCCTGTAGGGGGTTGAGATGGGGACTCTTGAGTTCCTCTGGGTGCTCAGAGAACTATTTGAAGTGTTGGTTCTTAGCACTTGGTTGTATTTCCTTTCCTGTTCTTTTGAGATTTGGCCCACAGCAGGAGGTTATTGTCTCTTCAAATGCTAGAAGCCATCTGAACTTATTTTCTGGCTCCATTGAGGGCCCAGCCCTGTTGTCACAGCCAGCTGAGTTAGTTAGAAATATACAGCCAGGGAGACAGGATCAGGTCCTAGAAGTGGCCAGCACAGCAGCCCAGACACCTTGCAACTATGGGGGAGCAGATACCTCTTGTTATAGGCCAGGCCTCAAGACAAAATATGTCTTTAAAAATGCAGATCAAGCAAGTAGCTTCATGCAAAGGTTTTGGAACATTTAGCAGATGTTTGATATTCAAATGGAAATAGGACAAGTATAATCTTGCCCTGTTTGATGTCAAATGCACAAAGTTTGTTGGCTCACAACATTAAGGAATGAAGTCACAAACCAAAAGAAGTTCAAAAAGCTTTCTGGGAAAAAAGAGAGAAGAATAGCCCTGGATTTTCAGGAGTGCTCTTCAGTGTTTAAGTCACAGACCTATTGTTAGGGGTCATTTATGCAACAAAGTCACAATGTGACTAGAGTGTGAGTCTCAAACTACAATCAACCTATAAGCTTGAGTGTGAGTCCCAAACTACAATCAACCTATAAGCTTGTAGTTAGTGGCTCAACTAATATTATTTAACCTGGGAAGAAGTCACCCAGAAAAAGGATGTTGAAAGAGCAAAGGCATTTTGTGGGAAAAATAGTCCAGTTGTTCTGGTCATTGAGTATGGTAATTGATGCCTATTTGGACTTCATGGAGGAAGTAGTGATAACTGTAGTACATTTCAAGCTATTGTTTTCTCTTCAAGAGGCATGTAGACATGGTCACTGCATCTTCACTTTTGTGTCTGGCTTTCTTCAGCTGAGCCTGTAGAGGGATTGTTGTGTTAGTATTTTATGTTGACACCTTTCAGGTTTCAATTCCTCTCTGACTGTATATCAATTTTTCTCTACGTTGACCTCCTGTAGTAAAATCACAATACCATTTGACTGGATAATGTGATGCTTATACATTTAATAAAATATTATTCAATAGAGGTCAGGGGTTTAGCTCAGCATGCAGAAGCACCTGCCTGGGAAGTGCTAAGTTGTTAGTTTGATCCCCCGTACTTAAAAAAAACAGTGTTTTAAACTGCAGAGAAAGAAAATAATTTCATTTGTGAAGATGTAGATTAATAAGAGTTTTAATTAAATATGTCAATGGTAAATTAAACATTGGTAATAGTCATATATAGAAGCTGAAAATGTTGGGCTGGGTTTTGAGCTTAGTGGTCAAAGAAATCTTTGAAAGCCTTTGCATGAAGCTACGTGCTTGCTCTGAGTTTAAGATTTCAATGAGTTTTTGGACCTCTTCATTCGAGCAAATTGCAGATTTATTGGAGGAAGGAGTTCACTGTTGTGCTATAGCACAATAGGTACCATTCCTAACTCTGTATTTATCACAGCTGCCAGGAAGCCACTACATGGCCAGCTGTCTGCTGCAACATCATTCCATAATTGCCAATTTAGATCAGCTTTCATTCAGCTCTATTATTTTTGTTTTCCTTTAATAGTCTTTCTCTTTCCCTTGGTTTTTTTACTTTTTTCATTTTTATTTTTTTGTTTTTAAAGATGTAGTCTCACTTTGTAGTTCTGGCTGGCCTTTCACTAACTTTGTAGGTTAGACTGTCCTTGAATACATGGCCATTCTCCTGTTTCAGCCTCTTTAATGCTGTGGAAAAGAGGTGGGCATCATAACACATGGGGTTTGTCATTTTCTTCCCTCCTTTTCAGCATTACTCTTTCATTTCAGGGGCACTGACATTTAATCCAGAGGTTTGCTTCTGTCAGTAATCTTTCTGCATGTTGAAGTGAGTTTGTGAACAACAGTACAGGAATCCAAGCATCCAGAGAATAAATTTGGAATTTAAATATTTGAGCTCAAAACCACTTTTATACAGACCCCCTTCCCCATTTCAGAATCTAAACAATTGACTCTGAACTGGAAAGTTTGGCATTTTTAAAAGAGAGAATCACAGAAGACATCCTGTTGGAAACAATTTAGCTAGAATCTTAAATTAATTTTTGGTTGACACCTGTATCCTGCTTTTTTTCTTAGCATGTTACTTTTTTTTACTTGGGTACAGCTCCTTTTGCTTTTCTCATGGAACTTATATCGTGAGTGATTTTTCATTTTCTTGGATCTAATACAGGGCACTAGATAAAAGCAGGGTGCAAGATGGCATCTGTTATGCCAGGCTACAATACAGCTGAGCTACAGTGTCAGGCCTCAATATTTTCTAGGGTCAAATGCACATAATGTTTGAATATTTCACTGTTTATGATGTTCATCCTTATAGTAAAGCATGATCTATAGTCAGGACAAGTGAAGCTCCCCAGGACTCTCATTGCTTTTCACTGGTCTTTTTCTCATCATCCTTAAATACAATACTCTCTGAATTCTTAATACTAATGCTCACATTTCATTCATATTCCTATCTGTGACATTTCCTGTTTCTGCAGTAGTGTATCCTGGCATCCAGGGCTCATAAGAGATAGAAACGCATCTTCTGATTCCCTACACTCCAAGGATGTTTTGTGTTATATTGGACACTTTTCCTTCAAGGGAATGGCAGTTAATGAATACATGTGTATCTCATGACTGTTTATTCAGGTTTCAAATAACACCAGGAATTCTTTCAAGTTTTATGTGCACACCTGTAATCCCAGAACTTGGGAGGCTGAAGTAGGATAATCAGTGTGAATTGACTGGACTAAGACGTGAGTCCGCAGTCAACCTGAACTGCATGGGGAAAACATGTCTCAAAGAAACAGAAAAAATATCCTATTATTGTGGATATCCTTGGGAAGAAGAACTCAAAAGTTTGAAACTCTTAAGATCATACCTATTATGTTTCATGTGGTGAGTATAAGAGACCAGTAAAACTACCTTCAAGGATATGGAGAAAACTCAAAAAAATCTTATTGCAAACTGTCATATAGATGTAATGCATTGCCCACCAAAATACCACTAGGATAGCTCACAAACGTAGAGAGAACATTTCTAAAATTCATCTGGAAACAGAAATGCTCTAGATCATCAAAGACATTGCTGGGCAAGAAAGGCAAGTCAGGAAGTATCACAATTCCTGACTTGCTATAATACTAGAAAGCTACTATTAGAAAATCAGCATAGTTATGGCAGAAAAACAGACCTGAGAATGAACCAAAAAGACTAGAAGATGCAAATAGAACTCCAAACACACTCTGCTACTTTGTGTTTGACAAAGGAGCCAAACA